AGTTCCAAAGTCTAGGGGCCACAATGGCAAAAGCTCTATCACCCTTAGTTCTCATCTTAGTATGTTTTATATCAAGTAAGCCCTGATCAGATGACCTCAGGGACCTGCTAGGGCCATAGGGCTGTAGCAGATCAGAGATGTAGGCAGGTGCCAATCCGTACAAAGCTCTAAAAGTCAAGACCAGGATCTTAAATCGGACTTTAAATTCAACAGGAAGCCAGTTTAGCTGAGATAGCAACAGTGTCACGTGTGAATGCTTAGAGGATTTTGTCCAAAGCCTAGCTGCACCGTTTTGCACAACCTGCAGACGATCCAGAGAACCTTTGCTTAGACACATAAACAGTGAGCTACAATAGTCCAAGCGTGAGGAAATAAATGCATGTATAACAATGTCCAGTTCAGAGCGAGATAAAATAGGGCTTAACTTAGCCACATTTCATAAATGATAAAAACAAGACCGAACCAGAGATTTAACATGACCATCCAATGTGAGAGTCGAGTCAAAGGTGACACCTAATTTCCTGACAGAGTATTTAACATAAACTGAGAGAGGACCAGGGGTTTCACTATCTGGGATAAAAATCTGTCAGGAGCAAATACAAGGACTTCAGTTTTCCCCTCGTTGAGTTGGAGGGAATTTGCAGCCACCCAACGTTTCATCAAATCTAAGCAGTCATTTAGAAGCTGAAGCTTAGATAAATCATGGGGCTTAAAAGAAATGTACAACTGAATATCATCAGCATAACAGTGATAAGAAATGTCCTCAAAAGAGCTGATAGCCGAGAGAAGATATATTAAAAACAATAAAGGCCCCAAAACCAATCCTTGAGGGACACCATAAGTAAGGGATGTAGAGGATGGCCTAAACTCGGAAACCACCACAAAAAAAAGGATCGGCGATGTAGATATGAGCAGAACCACTCTAAGGCAGTTCCAGATACACCAACCCAATGTTTTAACTGTTCAAGGAGGATGTGGTGGTCAACTGTGTCAAACGCCAACGTGAGGTCCAGCATAAGTAGAACACAGCATTTTCCTGCATCATTACTCATCAAAATGTCACTAGAGACCCTAAGAAGGGCTGGAGTGACCTCTGCGAAAGCCGGACTGAAACTTATCGCGAATGCTATGTTTGTCCAGACCCACTATAAGTTGCTTAGCCACAACCTTTTCTAGAAGCTTAGCGATTAACGGTAATTTAGAGATTGGTCTGTAACTGTTCCAAAGAGAGAGGTCTAGCTGAGTTTTTTTAAAAGTAGGAGAATAGCAGCATTTCTAAAATAAACCGGAACTATGCCTGTGAAGAGTTGATTAAAGTGAGCACACATAGACCAATAGACTGAAAGACATTTTTGAATAATGATGCAGGTACAACGTCAAGTGAACAGGAGGATGCTTTCACTGAATTCACTAGTTTTACCAGCTCAGGTAGTGAAACAGAAGAGAAAGTATCCAATATGACGGCCAAGATGGGGTGGAGATAGACATAACAGGTGCTGAATGTGAAACATTTATTCTCACGTTATTAATTTTTGCAAGCAGAAAAGAAAGAAAATTTTCACAGTCCTCATTAGATGAAATAGGGGCCGCAGGTAGAGCAGGAGTAACAATGTCACTAATGGTGTTGAATAGCAC